TCGCTAAGTCTTTCTCTTTCATTTCACCCCTGTGATGCGAATTTGTTTTTTGGATTTGTGATATTTTACCCCTAAAATATTTTAAAATATTTTTTTTATCACTTTGAAATTTAAAATTTTTACATTACACTATAAATTTCTTTTGTTGTAGAAATGTGCCCCAATTTGGGGGTTAAATTAGGGAATACAAATAAAAAGTTCCCCCCCACCTCCCCGGCGAAAAGGCGAAGAAAGGCAGAAATGTCAATAGATGTCTATTATTGAAACACATACGACCCTATAGTACAAATCTTTAGAATGCATGACTCTCCAAGATTTTTTAATCTCTCATGGTAGAAATTTTAGAATCTTTAGACTGCAATTCAACCTCTTTTTAATGAATTGTAGCCCCTGATGTTTTCCATAATCATGATCTGAAACAAAAAACACATCAATTTTGGGCCCTACTAATCTCTTTTTTTTAATGGTAGTTTCATGGTTTTAATCTCTATTTCTTAACCTACAAATCTTATAGATGGTGATTGGAAAAGAAAATTAATAAATGCCCTCATGAGAAAGAGAGGTATGTCTGCTAGTGGTGGTGGTGGTACACGCCACGTGGCAGAAAAAGCCAATCAATCTTAGCCGTCAAAATTATTAGGTCACCAATCTGATTGGGCTGTAAGCATTATATATATATATATATATATATATATATATATATATATATATATATATGCCTCGTTTGGAACCGCCCAAAAATGAATTAAATATCAGTGGTTATAATAAGAACGGGTATGCTAGTTTAAAGCTTTTGTTTTTACAATTCCAAACAGATGGGGACAAAGTGTCGTCGTCTCGTATCCACACAGTTTTGTATCACTATCAACAGTCATCATCTTGATCGTCACCCCTATGTCACTTATAAATTTTTCTCTCTAGCCACTTTGGCTTGTGATAATACAGTACAAACCTAACAGGGAAATCACACGTTATATTAATACAAAGAGAAATATTATATAATTCAAATTTATAACTTAAATTTATATTTTAAATGAACGTTACAGAGCGACTGAGGAGAGACCAAGAGAGCCAGAGAGAGAGGGGGGAGAGGGGAGAAGCGTACATTTTCTTCTCCCTGTTCGCCGTTATGAGATGAGAAAGAGGGAGTAGTTGTTGGGTGAAATGAAATGGCAGACAAAAGAGTAAAAACCCTAAACACAAGGGTGTTTTTGTAAAATACCAAACCAATCCTGTCGATAAGATTTGAATCTCACACTCCCCTTGGGTTAGAAATATTCAGATCATAAGGGATTTTGAGTTGTAATTCCTATGGTCGAGTATTTCAAAGACAATGATTATTTCATCCAAGTTTGCTTATCCAAACAAAGGATATGTGGGGCCCCTAACCCTATCCCTCATTTAATCCCATCTAATCCGGTGAATCAAACACCTTTAATATGGACTCTTAATGATACAAGTCTAAAACACAACATAACATGAATCGATTAATATCTCCTACTCCCTCTTATTATGGCTTCTTAATTTCATCAAATTTTTGAAACTTAAGTCCTATCAACCAAATTATCCTAAGCTTAGTGATATAAAAAACCATCTGGCTTAGATGTCTTTGGTTAATATTATTCACTCCATTTACCCTATGTTGGATTTGAGAGAAAATGGAGAGGATGAAAAATGAAGAGCGAAAAACAAGATGAAGAGATCGGTTTTTCACCATTTGATTTCAAAGGAAAAAATGGGTGGAAAAGCCATCCATCTCATCCAAAAATAAAAAAATAAAAATCCATTCGCCTGTGGGCAAAAAATTGAAGAAAAAATGGGTCACCCTTAATTACAATGCTCTAATATTACAATTAGTAAATTAAAATTTTAATTTATAAAAATACAATAAAAATCAAATTAGTCTATTTTTTATTTACTTTGATCTAATGCTACAGAATTCATCCCAATTTTCTCTCTTAAAAAATATCATATTTTCTACACGACCCCCAATATTAGATACCTTTACCAACACACTCCTCAAGATAAACCCCACTAATCCACACATACCTCTCTCTTCTCTGTTCTCTCTCCTCTATCCCTCTCTTATTTTTTTTAAATTCACTTTAATTTTAAATTATGTAATTAAAAAATTATTATTTAAAAAATAAAATATTGTATGACCAATTTTTTATATTTAGTATTATAAAATATCTTCAGATACGGAGTTATTGCTAGTTCCTTAATAAGGTAGTCAATTTTAAGTTAAGGAGTATGCACTTCATTGCTCTAAGAGCATCTCCAATACTACTCTCTAAAATAGAGAGCATCTTTTGTAAAAAGTTAAAATAGAGAGTTAATTTTTATACACTATTCCAATACTCTTATCATTTTATCATTTTAGGTTTTGTCCTTTTTGGAAATAATTTTAGCTTCCTTCCCATTTTCCTTCAATCTCTTACTTGAAATTTTGATTGACCACCCCTGTTTCCTGTCCATCCTTCTACTGTATATGACACCAAATGGACATAATTGAACTATTTTATATAGAGTTAATTATAAAATGCACCCTCCAAATTTGGGTTATGTTGCAATCGATTCTCTCAGATTTTAAATTCGACAATTTTCCCCCTTAAAATTTTTTTGGGACTAAATTAACTAATTGAGTGGGTGAAAAATATGAACTTCCTCAATTATCCCAACATCAATTTTTATTTTTATTTTCATTTTTGCTTTGTACTCAACTTCATCCCAGCTCCAGTAATGCCCCCCAATCCTCTTCCTAGCTCTTGCCCTTCCTTCCCCCCACATACTAGCTTCGACGAAGCTCACTCTCTCTATATCTCTCTCTCTCTCTAGGGAAGGGAGGGTAGTTGTTTTGGGGGTGAAGTGTATGGATGTTTCAGTTTACCAGTATTTCAGTGTATGGATATTTCAATTTCACTGGAGAGATTTTAATTGTTTGGATAGTGGTAGGTTTCGATTTTACTAGAAGATGAGAGAGGTGAGTTCACCAAAGGGGGAGGGATGTGGTTTTGGTTTCACTAGGGAAGTGAGTTCACCAAAAAGGGAGGGAGGTGGAATGTTTGGGTGGTGGTGGGTTTCAGTTTCACTAGAGCGGGAGAGAGGTGGATTGTTTAGGCGGGGGTGAGTTTTGATTTCACCAGAGGGGGAGGGAGATGGGTTTTGGTTTCACTGTGGAGATGGGTTCACCGAAGGAGGAGGCAGGTTTTATTTTTATTTTTACATAAAGTATTAAGATAAGGGTAGTTATGGACTTTTGATAAAAAAAAACCATCATTTTTTAAAGGTGGTCAGCTAACAGTAAGAGATAATTAAAAATTATTCAAATTTGGAGGGAGTAAATTGTCAAATTTAAAATTTGAGGGAGTCAATTGCAAACTTAGAGGGGACATTTTATAATTACCCCTTTTATATATGTTATGTATATAACTTATATCGATATATATACTCATACTAAAGACTAACTTAATATTTGGAATCAAATAGTGTTGCCCGAAAGCTACTAGAATGGTGCTTGATCCGGAATGAGACCATTACAGCCGGTGTCGATCAGCATTATGCAATATGAACGGGGACACGAATAAGAACGCAAGCAGCGAAAATGCAAAAGAGAAGAGCAAAGATTACTAACCCAATTGTTTAATTCTAAGCAAATGTCTTGAAATTTTTTAAACGATTGTAAATATTTGCATCTACGACTCATCAAGAAAAGATTCTAATTGTAGAAGGAATATCAAGACTTCTCGATTTCCTTTGACTATTATACTTATAGTAATTTTTGTAGTACTAATGTAGTGTCTGAGTTTTAAATTCGATTGGATAGCTCCTGGTAGAAAACCTTTACTTCCGAGAAACTAGAGTTTTAGACAAACTGAAGCCTTTGATTTTGATCAAGACTTTTATTTTAATAAATAAAGAGTAATGTTATGTAACCCAAATTTTTATCCTATATGAAAGGGACCATTGGATCATTATGTACTATTTAAAAAAGTTGATGAGACTTACTCATCTAATAGTTCCCTTCATTTGAATTATAAATTTGAGTTATATAGTATTTTTCATAAATAAATAGTCTATTGAAGATAAAATTTTAAAAGTTGACTCTCTAAAATAAAAAATTGAGTAAAAATATAGAGTCTACTAAAAATCCTCTAATCAATGGGGTGTTAAAATATCAACAAAACACTATTTACGTCACTATGCGTCTTAATAACCACTAGTGAGAGGTACTAATCGACTAAAAGATTATTTGGTAAACTTAATATGAAATTCATATCTAATTTACTAAAATTTCATATTTGCATTATTCGATCGACTTGAATTTTTAGTTGGATTTTTAATTTTTAATTCACATACAAATTGTAGAAATGAAACTCTTAGAATATTTGTTTCAAATTCTGATCAATATGTTAAAATGAAAATCAAATATTAAATTTAACTCAAAAAAAATTATAAAAATATATTTTTTTAATTATATTAAATCAAATCATATTTAAATCCGATCTATAGACATGTTCATTTGTAATTTAATAATATTATTTGAACATAATTTATTGATATAATTTATTAATTTAATATATCACAATAATTAAATTAATAATAGATTCTAATAAATATTGAGATCTCATTATATCAATAAATAAATTAGTTCCACGTAATACTGTTGTTTGCAATTTTGTGATGCTTGAGTGAAAAGTGGGTCCAGCTACATCAAGACTTTTGAGATCATTGTCATCAAAGCAGTGCACGTGTAACCATGATAATGTGTAGCAGGACCAAGTAAAAATTCTTTAAATAAAGAATAATATTATGCTTTTTTTTCATGTGAAAAAACAACATTATGCTGTTGTGTGTACATATATTCAAAGCTTTAACGCAAGAAATGATCAGCACCAAGCACCAAGAGCACAAGCATCCATCGTTTCCCTTTAAACTGGCCCCCTTCCTCAAACACCATCATCACCTTCTCTCTCTCTCTCTCTCTCTCTGTGGTAGCCATGACATTCGAACACTTGCTGACACTTCCTAGAACAAGTAGCTGCAAAAGTACCAACAAGATCATACCCTCAACCTACACAAGATCAACATCTCTCAAACCTGAACTTTCCGACGATCTCAGTCTCTCTTACCAACCTATCGTCCGAAAGGGCGCTCCGGTAAGCTTCCCACGCTTCTCCAAAACCCGTCTTGGAGTCTCCGATCTCATCCGATCATTTCTCAGCATTCTCTCCTTCCCTTTAATCCCCACTTGTCGCCGGTGGCTTACCATACCAACCCAACTCTCCATAACACCTTCACTTGGCCGGAAAGTTATCGGCACTCTCTTCGGCAACCGGAGAGGCCTCGTGACGTTCGCCGTCCAATACGATTTACGATCCGAACCTGTGTTACTTATCGAACTGGCTGTTTCAACGTCGAGTTTAGTGAAGGAGATGTCCTCTGGTTTGGTCAGAATTGCATTAGAATGCGAAAAAGGCCCGCCGTCAGGCAACCCGTCACGTGCCCGGCCGGTAAAGTTGTTCAATGAGCCTACGTGGACTATGTACTGCAACGGCCGGAACTGCGGGCCAGCCATGTCACGCACGTGCGGTGAGTCCGACTGGCACGTGCTCAATACCGTCAGAAGCGTCTCAGTCGGCGCCGGTGTGATTCCGGTGGTGGAAGATGGCCAGAAAAGTGGTGGGTCAGAAGGTGAGTTGCTGTATATGAGAGCTAGGTTTGAGCGAGTCGTGGGGAGTCGTGACTCAGAAGCTTTTTACATGATGAACCCGGACGGCAATGGAGGACCTGAACTCAGTATATTTCTACTTAGAATATGAGAGCGAAAAAAAAAAATCTCTATTGTGTTGGGTGTTGTTTGGCTATTAGTGAATATGTTTAGTGACTTTTGTATTTTATTTTGTATCGACCTTGTGCTGTACTGCCCTCGTTCATTTTAATGTTAGTGCACTAGTTTCCTTATTAATGCTATTGAGATTTAATTTGTTGACATAATTTAGTATGATCTTTGTATTAATTGTTGAGGCTATCAAACATTAAAACTTAGTGTTGATCTAATGGTTCTTCTGAAGTCACATCATTATGTCAGCAAATTATGTCAAATTTTTAAATTCAAATAATATTAGCCTTGCTTTAAACACGGAGGAAAAGTTCAATTTTCCTAGGTAAATATTTTTGGTTTTTTAACAAACAAAACATTACAACAAAGCTCGAAACACACCACTAAGAACACACCGTTAATCATGTTTTCTTCCCTAATAGGGAAAATTTTTGAAACAATCAATATAATTTGGACAAGTATACATGGTAACGAGTATGTGTGATCGTTTGTCTTTATTTTATTTATTTCTCACTCGGGGATGAGTCTTATATAAGCAACCATTGTGAATAATACTTTTGACATAATCCATTCGGGTATTTGGTTCGTAAGTAACGAACCATCACTTTCCTTTTCTCTATTCAATTTCTTTCGTATTCTAAATTTCTTCAAATCGAGTTCTCGATAGCCATGCCAAGTTACTTTATAAGCCAAATTATCCATGTTTAATGCTTTTTCTTGGGATCATTATGGAACAATGACGGTAGGTTCCAGTAAACCAATCCATATATAAAGTAAAACGACTTTGAGATAGGTGTAGCTGCAACTGAGGAAAAGAGAATGGCCAATCCAAAGCAAAGAACCAATATATAATTTCTATATCTGTTGCTGTTTTAGAACTAACTACTAAACTTTAAACCAAAACATACCTTTTACTGTGTACTTTTTCCCCTAATCAGTAGTAAAAGTTAACACCTTTCCCTGAATTATGACTCAAAAGGAGGGAAAAGCTAGCTTTGGTGTGTCTCCAGTAATGTTCAGTTACAAATTAGGTTCAAAAGCACTTGTGCTCTTTATTAATAAATAATCAATTAAATGATTACAGGGGACGAGCCCTACCTCATTCAATCTTCCTATGCTTTTATCTATTCTAGTGGCATAAAGAAGAGTGACCACCAAGATATATGAGAGGACCTGGCTGCCCAAGTTGCACTACACTACGCACCTTTTGTTAAGGGATCATGTAGTGGTAGTCTCTTTTTATTCAAGAGTAAAACGTAATCAAATGAATTGATGCTGCCCATGCCAATGATAGAGTATGACATGTGAGTTCAAATCCTTATGTGAGCTTACCTGCGCTAGCCTCCACGCACGTGCCAATGTCCCCCTCGCTCCTCTATTTTTTTTTGGCATATAGTTTCATCTTCTTGAGGGTGTGGCTAGTAAATTATTGAAATGTTCTAAGAGCCATACCAGAAATGAAGACACACAAAAAAAAAAAAAAATCATTTCTAATATTCAGTATTTTGTCATCAAAGATCTAAATAGGCTCATAATGCTGTCGACCACTTATCTTTCTCAAAAGCGGTTGTATACATAGGAACCATATACATTGAGTAGGACCAAGTGTGTATTGGCCTCATTCTTCTTAACAAATGACTCATAAATTCTTAAAATCTTCCATTAATAATGCTATAAAATAGCAATTTGTTTCTATAGCCTATACATCAGTCTTATTTCATTTCAAAAAATATGTATTTGTTTTAAAATTATAAATATTATGCCACATTTACGGAAGTTCTTGTAATTTTTTTTTTTTTTGGGAATTTCTATTGAAAACTTACTTTAATGTATACATATATTGCATTATCCAATTACTTGGTTCATAGAATGGTGCTCTCTTACGCATTAGTAATTAAAACATTTCTGATTCTTTTTTCACATTTTTTTTGATTAAAACATTGGATCTAGATTCCTTTTAATAGAAACTTTTTTTTCAATTTATTACAATGATAAATAACCGATCATAAATTCAAATAGAACATATAATCTATTAAGTTTTATCTTTCATTAGTATACCGTGGGTGATGTACTATTGTAGAAAAAAAAAAGGAATTGGTTTAACCTTTCAAAGGCAATACAAAACTAAAATTGATATAGAGAAAAGCAAAAGATACATAGTGCTTAATTATGTGCGAAACAAAAGACTACAGTATTGAAGGTTATTTCAAAGGTCCAAACCAAAATTTACGTTTCAATTGAAAAGTATAACTTAATCAGATGAAATTATTATAAAATAAAATTGTTCGGGATCGATCCTAAAATATTTGGATATCCTAACATAATATTGAAAAATAAATTATAATTTTTTGAGTATGTAACTTGAATTCGATTGAATTGTTACTAATCTTTTGAAGTCATAACCCTAATCAAATTGTAAGTCATCTTGAGATATAACTTTTGGTATGTTACCAAATTGAGAGAGAGAGAGAGAGCACTATTTGTATATGACAAGAAATGGTAGACCACACATTAGTCAAAAAGCAATTGATTGATCATAAACTTGTCAAAAACCTACTGATCTGGCTTTTGATTAACCAAACGTAGTGCCAAAAGTTGTGGAAAAGGTGGGTACCAATACCAAGTCATTGTGCAAGCAAAGAGCACATGGGAGACTATGTTGTCTTGTCATGGCGAAAAGAATAAAACCTAAAACAATAGATGCTCCGGGGTGTCAAGAGTACTTAGCCCTGCCAGAGAGGTACGTAGCAGAAACGAGGCCATGCAAATACATTATATATGTTTTGGATCAGATATTTATTGAAGAGATACTTATGCCAACCCATGATATTTTTAGATATTTATACAAAATATCATGCACCACCTAGCCTTCAGATCTTGGTTTCTTGAAAGTATTTTGATAAAAAACAAATATTTCTACGACATATATACAACCTGATCAGTTTGCAAGATCTTTAATACAACCTTGGCATGTCACTTTTTCAGTTCACACGATCTTTAATTATAACTCTAAAGTGGTCATTGGTTCTAATCCTTTTTGTTCATAGCGGACTGACACAACCTTTCTTTATTGTTATCTAGAGCACTTAACATGTTCCTTAATGTACAGTTATGAGGTGATCAGAGCTCAGAATTACAAATGGCAAAGCTCCCAATAATGTTTGTGTTGGTGTGGGTGTGGGTGGGGGATGGGGGTGGGGTTTGAAATATTATATATCTGACAAGACTGACATATCATGTTGGATTTGCACATGTTCAACGTGCTGCAACTTTAGGCCTGCAAGAATGCTCTGGGGATCAATGTCAACTCTTTTTAACCTGTTGCTGCTTTAAGGAAGAAGAATGGTCTCACAATTTTAGACGCCACCACTGAACTTGACAAGAAATTGAGACGCATTTAACGGTTTTAGGTTAAGCGTCAATAAATGGGTAAAACCGTCTACCCATTTATATATATGGTACTAAAAAAAGTTAGCACAATATCAGAAGTGATTAGTAGCCTTAGATCATGATTTGATGCATTTGTAGCTTCGATTGTGAAAATAAAATAAAAAGAATTTTTTTTTTTACATGTTTCATGTTTAAATTGGACAAAAAAATAAAGATACGATACAGAAAAGTACCTTTTCAGAATAATGATTGAACCTAAATTATAACTCTAAAATGATCATTACATTAAATCATTTCTGTTCATAAAGCTTCCAAGTTCCAAAAATGGCAGGATTTGAATCTTTGAAATATTAGTTTTCTGACATATCAGTTGGGTTTTGCAGATGCTCAACGTGCTGCTAGGGAAATGTAAAGAATGTAAAAACATGTCAGCGAGGTCTAAGGAGAAATACATTATATTTTGGATCAGGTATTTGAAGAGATGCCTATGCCAATCCATGATATTTTCAGATATTTATACAAGTATCATACACCAGCTAGCCTACCCTGATTTGAACGACATACTCTAACCTCATCTAAAGAGGGCATACTTAGTGCACGAAACTCCCGTCATTACAAAATCTGGGAAAGATTAGATGTATGCAGACGTAGTCTTATCCTGTGAGTAGAGAAACTGTTTCTGCGACTTCAACCTCATCTAATATACATATATGCGTGTGTGTTTACACTTCGCAAGACCTTACATAATAATTGTTAAATAAACAAGTCATCTACAAGCTTTAAAAAGGGTATAATTTTAATATTTATACTTCAACACGTTCTTTCACGCTTAGCTACACTAATACCATATTAAATCATTAACTTATCTAAGAATTTAAATTATTAAAAACTGTAATTTAATTATTTATATTTTAACAATACCTTTCAAAGCATCATTAGATCTAATCCTCTGTGTTCTTGCAGGACTGAAAGAAGGTAGTAACTACAAATGTCAAAGCTTTCCAAAAAGGTGGTGTGTGAGTGTTAGTCCTTGAAAAACTATTTATCAGACATATCAGTTGGATGGCACATGCTCAACATGCTACTTCTTTGGGCCTGCTCTGGGGATAAGTGGCCAGCTCTTTAACTAGTGGTTTCAATGACAAAGAAGAAATAAATAATAATTTTACTTAGATCTAATTTATTGATTTAATCTATTGTTATTGTTAAGTTGAAAGTTGTGAACTCTATTTGATAGCGGATTCGATTGCTAATCTAACAATAATAATTAATTACGTCTATAAATTAGATCTAAATAGTATTTTTTTTTCTAAAGGTGACAGGAGCACAACACCATTTGCATAATAAATGAAAAGTCAAATTTGTAGTAGGATGATGGGTGTAGTATGTTCAAAATATATATATATGCATCTTTTTTTTCTTTTTGTGTGTGTGTGTTAATAAAAAATAAAGAAACCAGATTTGAAAAGGCTTCATTTCAATAACTAAGGTAGACTATTTCAACATGCACCAATAATGATGGACCGACCAAAACAGGAAATCAAAAATATGGATCAAATGATGCGATACTATCATAACGGTGTCGATAGT